ATAACACAGAAGCAACGGAAACTTGGTGTAATATTTTGAGTGGAAAAGGTAATGAAGTGCAAGCTTGATAGAGAAAAGGCCGTTTTCAGGAACGTCCTCTGCCGTGTGATCCGGTGTTGATTCCGTCACTGCCGCCGAGCCATAGCAAGAAGCGGAAAAGGGACGAATCGTTGCAGATATGAGCCCGATATGTTACATTTTATGTTGACTGTTATTTTACTGCCTATATGAATCGATTTTCTCTACCAATGGATTGATTTCGCCCAGGGTCTACTACCTGCTCCATGGTACTTCCAGAAAATGGGTCGCTGCGCAATCGACTTGTTATCCGGTACTACTATCACCTTCTTTGAATAGATAGCGCGTCGTTGTCTTTTAAGATAAGGAGCAAGGTATTCCCAAAAGGGTTCTGTAGTTGCGTCGTTAGATGGTCCACACACACCTGTATTCGCAAATGGGAGAATTGCTGCTGCTAGTGCATGGACCGGGGGAAGGATTCATATAAACTTCGTGTTCTTTTTTCTTCGTTTAGCTTTTTCAGTCTGTCGCTGAAGTTTTGAAATGTATGCGCTGATTTGACTGAAACTCCGAGGGCAAGCGAGTACGGTTAGATTTGGGAGCAGGGGGAAGTGGAGGGTGCTAAGATGTACGGCTGAGTGGCGAGAGCAGAGTTATGGTCAAGAAACGCCGACGGGACTCTGTTGTTTGGCCGAAGATTTTTGCTCGAGGACGGGGCGCGGCTAAAACGGGATGTATGAACGAGTTTACCGCGTCGTGATACCACGCAATACCATGCTCCAGTCGAGGCATGGTATTGCATGGTGCCGCGTGTTGTTATCCTAAGGGACTCATGACTCATGCACTGTGACCAACCAGGGATGGCTTGTCTATACGGTCTCCAGAATGAATTTCTGGCAGAGACCGGTCAGACATGGCCTTCTTGGTCATGGTCCCGTCATGCGTGCTCTTGCCCTCGAGCCTCATTTGCTGTCCCACCATTCAACCATTACTCATGTTGAAGTGTTCCTGTTTATGCTCCGCACATTGAAATGTTGTCGAAGCCGAGGTCAATCTGGGCCGGCTTCGATCCTCGGATGGTGCTTGACGTGTTGTAGGTACTTCATTACCTTTTCCACTCAAAATATTACACCAAGTTTCCGTTGCTTCTGTGTTAGCTCATCGTTCAACACTGAAGAGCTATCGGTGTCAGGTGAAATGATCGGCCTTACTCCTACTGTTGCGTGTGACCTTCGTGTGCCTAGATTCCAGCAAAGATTTTTTGTGAGGCAAACGGCATGTTGAAGAGAAAGGCTATGTTTTTCAATCTCTCAAACGACCTGCCTTATTGAGAGAAGCGCATATGCCCACCCCATCCCCCTCTATCCCAGCCCTTCCCCAGAAGCTCCAAGAAGGGTATTCTACAGCACCTGCTCAAGTCGTTTAGAAGGGTAGGTGTTTAAAACAGAGCTGTAAGTGAACTGGCAGAAAATTGAGGCGATCGCTCCTTTTAACCGCGGCAAAACATATGCATTTCTCCGATCTCCATTTGTGTACAATACCTGTGAGCATCTATTCGACCTCTGTAAGAGTATCCCTTATGGAGCTGCCCTGTTTTTTTTTTACAAAGCCTGCCAAAGCTAAGAACTTATTCAGTTTTTACATCTTCTATTGTGATTGAGAACCAATATCTATACGTTTTATGGGCACGGTCAGGTTTCTTTTATGTTAATGAAATGGAAATTGCTAGAATCATCACTCCCAATTAGAGAAAAACCCACTGCTTGATCGGGAAAGCCGCACAGCTCAATAATCACGATAAAGCTTTCCAGGTTTTGAATGACCTCTCTGGTCAAAGATAAGAAACATGAAGAAGCAGAAAGAAGAACTTAGACTAGTTAATAATGTTACACTAGGATGCGGCACACACACACTTGTTTGCATTTACTGCAATAAAATGGAAGATGCACAAGCTGTCTCACCGTGAAGAACGGATGCGCCAGAGCGGCTGCCGCGCTGATCCTCTTCTTTGGGTCATACGTGAACAATGCATTCAGCAGATCCACAGCTAACGGAGATGCTGACTCAAAGACCACCTAAAGTCCTTATTTAGTTCGTAACGTAAACGTTCGTGCAACTGTATAAGGGATTAGACAAGCAAATGATAGAAAAAATTCCAATGAAAAAAAGAAAAGAGAAAGCACACCTTGACATTGTTGAATGGCTGAGTTTTCAATGTGAAGTTCTCGAGCAATGGCATCGAATCAAGTTCAGCCCAAATTTTTGTAGTGGGCGTACCGAGCAGCCCGATTATCTTGTCGATCTGCAAAACGTTAGCCAATAAATTATTTCAGCATAACACGAACTCTAAACCAGTAGTCGAATTGCGGTGATCAGAAGCTACTTGGTGAGTTGTAGGTAAGAGCACTGAGATGGGAGCAGCAAAAGGAAGGGTAGACTATGGAAAATTTGCTCAACGGTACGGTGGCGTACCCTGATTACAAGAGAACCAATTTCTAAAAACTTCAGACATCAGAAAAGTTTCGCATCTTGTTCATAGTGTTTTATGCCTGCAAAGTGTCGATGAGGAGATTCACCTAAGATGCACCAGCCGCCCACTGATTCTAATGCACCGTCTGTGTTTTAGCTCCAAAAGCAAGTTCGGACATCTGTATTCCTTAAAGGTAATGCAATTACCAACACATCTGATTTAGGTGGATTCATGATTAGAAGGAGCTATACCGACACAGCGTAATTACGCCGAGAGTCATACTCAAATATCAGGATCAACAAAAACATCGTGCAGTACGATCATCGGAAGCCTTTAGATACGATGACTTGTTTGAAAGAGATTAGAACCTAAAGTATTGTTAAAGAAATTCGAATGTATGTTGAGATTCAATCGTGAATGCGAACACTTGACATCCGATGGAGAACAAAATACTGTGATTGGTAATCAAGCGCCCTGAAGAAGCTCTGTTTGAATGAGACATTTCACTTGCGGTTCTGTAAACGGATGAACCATTTCATCTAGAAGTTTAGCCAGGTCCTAAAGCAGTGCCGGGAGTTCAAGAGCAATTTGCTGACGAGAGAAGATCCGGACTGACCTGCTCACAGTATTCCATGACAAGAAACATGCCCTGTGGATCTCGTGACACTGCTACTTCCTTTAATTCTACAATGTTCTCATGCCTCAGTTTCTTTAGCAGAACAATTTCTCGAAGGGCCGAGTCCGAAATGCCCATCTGAGCGCTCATTTTGCTATCAACACGTACTTTCTTCAAGGCCACCTAAACTATTAATTATTAACTGAAGTATGTTTGAAACATAAATTTTCGTATTTTTAGAGAACAAAGGAATACAAAGGGATGTTTGAAAAAAATTGAAACATCTATTATAGGCCTCACTTTGCAATAATCGCTTCTAAAATAGCCCCTCCTCAGCATGAGGGAAAAACCTTCAAGTCATAATAAACTTAGTCTTGGGTCACCCTTTGCCGAAAGCAATCGTTACAAAGCAATCGAAAGATATAACTTGAAGTATTGAACGATCCCAAAGTACATACCACTTGTCCACTTTTGGAGTCCCTTGCTCGGTAGACAATTCCATAAGTACCCTCTCCAATACGATTCAGCTTCACGAATTCGTTCACGGATCGACATGCCCCATAGCCGAGCTTTTCCTAAACTTCCAAACAATAAAATTCAGAATTTCAGGCCGGAGCCATCCACACATCACACTAAAGATAATTTACAGATATTTATTGATATTTATGCAAACACAATATGAGGTTCATTCATTCAGTGCAAATGATTTACAGCCTTCACAATTTCCACTATAGAACAAGCAAGCATAACTGTGTAGTCCTCAATAATGAACCAAAAAGGAACTTTAAGAAGTTCAAAAAGTGTGGCTCGTTCTCGAAAAAGGCCTCCGGTTTCTTGCTGCTGAAAGGAAACTAAGGCTTAGGACAGAGGACGGGACTTCAAAACCATCAGGGTGCCACACGTTTGTCGCCATTAAACTGCAGCACCGACAAAGTGGAGTCCATAAAGTGCTGGGCGTCACAGCACAGCATTGCAGAGGGGAAACGGCTGGGAAGAACTCTTGATTGGCATCCAACCGGGAACGACCGGTTATAGTAGATGTCCTCTAGCTGCTGTGCTTTTTCCACGAAAGAACGTACACGGCAAATTGGAGCGTACTACGTGGCGTGTACTTTTGGCAGGTGCCCCAAGAGGATCGACCGTGACAGTCGACTGGTTAAGGTAAGCGAGAAAGCTGCTTACGTTTGCCAGGCTCATTTCCGTCCTTGATTCGAACCTCCCTCAATCTCTGTCATACTGTTGGTCCACAAGCGGTACTTATCAAAGGATCAATTCATTCTTAACAAAAAATCTTACTGCGGGAATCATCCTCGTCCTATCATCGAGAATTGATACATACTTGAGGCCTGTGAAAGATGACGATGTGGAAGGTGATGGGGATGGATCGCCACCGCGAGCTGACATACCAATCTTAACTAAATCATTCTCTAATCTTACCTTACATTTAGTTGATCATCCAAACGCTAGGATGATTGGCTAAAGGAGATAAACCAAGATATGCTCTGATGCACGTATTGGAATACGCAAGCGTAAAAACTGCATATTTTCATAAGCAAAAGTATTCTTTTATTTTAACCGCCAAACAAAATTATAATGGTAGTGATCAAACGAGTACGCATGAAAAGAGAAGTACACAGATCATCCGAGCAAAAACAAGGAACTATGAAAGAATGCCGAGAAATCGCTACGATAAAAACCGATACGATGACAATACAATGATCAAAAAACACACGGATATCTTCGATACGAGAGAGGGAGCAGCATGGTGCATAAATTATGATGAACAAACACGGGCTAGTGCTAGACAGCGACAAAAATAACACATTAGTACAAGAAATTTAGACAGGCGATCGATAAAGTTTAATCAACACTCTGCATTCCGCTATTGGTTGGGAAATAGTTGCGGGACATAGCTATCAGGAAATACAGTAAACACCCTAAAGGCGGCTAAGATGACTGCCAGCCAACTGTAACCACTTTAGGGGCTTCATCACTCAAGCAACTCACAACGAGATCGAGACGCTGAGCACAGCTCGCGCAATGCCAAACAGCTATCTCTATCCGTCTGATCTATTTCAATCGAACCCTTCATTCTTGGGGTGAACAAAAATGAAACAAGACCTATAAATCAACACCGGAACATTCACGGCAAAAACACTGCTCTGAAGTCCTAGAACTATATGCACTTAAGGTGCTCAAAGTAAAACATACATTAGCCATTACTATTATGGTACAGAATCGCGATGGGCCTTGTTCTAGAAAAATGGTGAGAAGCGATCGCATAGTAGCTAGAAACAAGAGATGGATTTGAAAAAGGCTCACGCTCTTGGTTATTAGTCCGTTGTGAGAACACAGAAACAATAGAACAAGGAGGAGCACAAAACATCCGCTCGACTCCTTATACAGTTATAATAACAACTGTTAGACCACGAATACTATTGTGCAATAGAAATTGTTAGGAGGAGTAACTAAACTTGGTAAGTCTTAACAAAGAGCGCAAAGTGAATAAAGAAATACTATACTATTTACAAAACAATATACGAAGTAGAGCAAATTCACCTACAACAAAAGAAAGGCAATAGCAAATGAACACAGCATAATCACCACACACAAAACGAAAGCAACGCGCAACGAAAAGTGAACGGCGGCGTAGACGAACAAAAGAAACGCTAAAAACTGTGTGGGCATGCAACTATGTGATTTGTGTCAACAAAAAATAAATTATAATTGTAAAAATAACGAAACAGAATTCTCGATTCTGCTGTACCGAAGAAGAGATTGAAGCCCTAGGGTCTTCAGCAAATAAAAGAGAAAAATACACAATTAATTGTAATTGGAATTCGATCCACGACGCCGTCGATCTGAAAGACACTTGCACTATGTTGTATAATCCAGGGGATGGAAACGGAAGAAAAAAACTAGCATTAAACCTAAATTCTACCTGAATACGGATTTTTATTGCTGTTGTAGAACACACGACTCTTCTCTGAGTGTTTCTCACGATCGTGGTCGATACTAAATAATAACAATGAAAGCTGAAAACAAAATCACACTAAAAGGGAGAGCGGCTACGCTCCAATGCACATTCTTTCGTCTAGAACGTTTCGAAGCCTGCGATATGCATAACAAGATATACAGGGGGGGGGGCCAAAAAAAAAGACATTTTGCCTATGTCGGACTTCGGCTCTTTTTTCTTCGCAGAGATTGCTGTCGTTGACGGGAGTTCCTCAGCAGAGTATTCCCTAAGTGTTCCTCTATTAGTGTACGCAGGCTCTCCTTCACTGCCCTCACCGTCTTCAGAATATGACGTCATCTGTCACCGTCGTCAGGCTCAAGGAGGTCTACTTTTTATATTTTTTCATGTCCTTGATCTCTTTATTTTTTTTACGCAATTATATCGATTATTTTCGCTCGCGATTTTTGATAACGGACGGCGTGCGCCACAAGGTGGCGCACGACTATTTCTTTTGTTTTTGGAATGTTTCTAGCAATCTTAATATACCCATATATACTCTCAGCAATGTGGAATAACATATCTTCCCAGGACCTGGACGGCTGGATTTTTGACAAACCTACAATAAATTTTACATACATTTTGTCTTAATTTACATAAGTTTACTATTTGATGGGTGGCTTACCCATGGTTCGCACGTCCCGAGACCCCTTCCCCTAAATATAGCCACATCCTTGCTCGGGGTTGTTGTTTCGCATTTTTCGATAATGTCACCTACAGCTTCCATTCATTCTTTGCACCCTAGTTTTAGAGCGGAAAGGGCTACGAACTTGTCGTCAACGGAAATCTCTTTTTCGGATGATGAGACTCCGACACCTACTTTAGCCCCGTCTTACCCCTGCTGTTCACATAAGCCTACATAAACCCTACCCTGGGTGGCGGCGTGCGCCACATGGTGGCGCACGCGAAAAATACACTGGCCGTCCGTTATGGTTAATGATGTTGGATAGTTTTCTAGAGGCATTAGCTACCACTGTGCAAATCCCCTCGGAACTAGCTTTCCAGTAAGGGTCGTTATGGTACACGATCCTTCGAAGACCCCATTGAGATCGACCAGTGCACCATGTTTCCAGGGCTAATTCTTCTGATGCCGTCCACGTACGTGGCCACTATGAAGATTTTCTTATAGAATGGAATGCACTCTTTAATAATAAGTTGGAACCGTTCGGTCTGAGTTGAGTAAAATGTGCTTAAATCCATCTGGAAGTGGAGGCAAAATGTCTTTTTTTTTGGCCCCCCCCCCTGTATATGCCGATCGAACTTCGTGTGCTGCTGAAAATTAGGCAAGAAGTGTGGAGAGGAACGTTATTGGGAAAAGCAAAAAGCACCACACCATAGTGTTACGGGGCTAGGCCGATTTAGGGCGATGGTGCAGCTGGTTGGGAAGGACTACGAATCCGTGAGGGTAAAGAAGAATGAAGATGATTACGAAGGATGTGATAGTAGGGTAAGGGATGTCGAAGTACGAATAAAAATTCATACCGTCAGTCTCCTACGCCATCTAACTCATAGAAATACCGAAATTCTCCTTGTGAGATCGACCGTGTACGGATAGAAGACATACGCTAAGGGAAAGAGAAAGGGAAAGCATGTCGAGAGTATATCTCAGGATTTAATCGCGACCCATGTTAAGTGTTTCGGACCCGAATACAACAGAACGTCTGATCCTACTGAAATTAAGCTGGAATACCTACCTTCTATTGTTATCATAGTTTTTGCCTCCACCTTGCCTATAGAAACCGCGATCATTGTTCCGGCTGGAAATTAAAAGTACACCAAACATCAGACATGAGAAAAAGATAACGACTTAAAAATGAACTTTTACTGCCTACCTGTTCAATTCGTGGTCTTTATTGTCACCACTATCGCGATCACCTCTTTCATCATCTTGCATTTCTCGGCGACCATCTGGAAATGATTAGCCTTCAAGCAACTAGAGAAGACATGCCCAGAAAAGAGTTGAATACAGTGCCAACAAGTCGCAAGACGACAACGTGACTCTATGAGGATTGCATGGCTGTTAGCGGAAAGCACACGAAGAATCGCTAAGAAAACCCCAGACTGATAGGAATCGTAGCTAGTAAATAGTTATGTTGCAGAATTTTCTTCCGTGGAACAAGAACAACCACTACGATAAGAAGGGTACTGTAGTGAGAAGAGTAAGGGTGGAAAGTAATGACAGAAGGGATTGTAAGTTGGCTGGCAAACATCCATCAATTGAAATGTAAAGAAAGATAAACGAAAGATGGGCAATATTTCTCACCATCGCGATTGTAATGACTCTGACGATTGTTGAAGTAACCACGACTTCGCCCACGATAGCCACCACGATTGTATGGTCGATGGTATTGACGATTGTGCTTGTGTTGGTGATCCTGTTGGTCGTGATGATAGCCAGCTGCTTGGTACTCAGCCTGAAAACTCCGACTTAGGCTGATGCTAATTGAAAGTGACGACAAGATTATAGCCTCAAACCACAATAACAACCCCAACAAGGATTCTACTTTTATTGCAAAACTAGAAAAGCTGAGAGTGAATAAATTTTCTTGAAATGAAGACGCAAAAAAAGAGTCATTGGGTCCATCGATAACTTTGCACTGTTTCAGCTCATTTAGATCGCGATCACCTTTAGAGCAATTTCGAGTATTTGATTCAAAATTTGTTTACACCATGCAAAGCAATTATGAAGCAATTTAATTGGACCGAAACTGGAGGATGTTTTTTGAAAATATCACTGCCAATCTTGATGTAATTAGTAGAAGAATTATGGAAAATAAGTATATATTCATGCTGAATGATTCCTTGATGGGATCATTTTGAAGACTAGCGGAAATACAGTTTTTTTTTTGAATAATGCCGTTCTATTTAGAACCCCACTGAACGACAGATCATACTAACAGAAATATCATGGAATTTACACCGTTAGGTTGTTCAGATTACGCAGCTTATAATCTCCAAATCCCACCTCAGTTGAAACTAGTTAGAAAAATACGTGTCCAACCATGATTCGCTACAACAATTAATTCTTCTGAGAAAATTTCACAACTCACCTCGCCCCAACCGTCATCATCGTTCCTGTCCACACGAGGATCTTCAGGTACCTATAAAGGAAAGTGAACCAAACATCCAAGACTACAATTTGGATATAAAGCGCTTACCGGCTCTTCGCGATCGTCGTCGTATTTGGTATACTGCCGCTGCCTATAGTTGTAGTCGCGACGGCCTGAATTAGCACCGTAGAAATGGCTTCCCATCTTTAGGTGTATGAAAATTGGTGGTCAAAAGAAAAAGGAAACAACATTTAAAAAAAACCTTGTCGATCTCGGTAATTATCATTGCGCTCCATTTCTCGTTGCTGCCATGTCAACTGATCCAAATCTGATCGAATCGAATCAGAAATCTGTTCGCCTCGACTCCATTCGCGGTCATTTTGCCGGTAGTCACGATCGCGATTATTATACCCCTAAAAATTGAGAACTGGAGCTTTGCAAAGGTACACAAAACGTAAGGAAACAGTGGTAGAGAAGCAATTCCAATCGTGGAAAAGGAATGCTTGAGATATACTATATAGCATTCCTCACTTGAATTCGTTGGCGTGGCAACGGTTGTTGCTGCGAAGATGGGCCTGGCCCCGTATCGTCACGCGCGTTCCGTTCTCTATCACGGTCGCGGAAATTTTGGGACCGCTCCACCTTGTCGCGGAAACCCTCGCGCGGCTGATAAGGTCGATTTCTTTGCCAGTCGTCACGGTTCCGCGTAAAACGTCGTGGATCATAATTGTCCCGACGATTCTGTAACTCAAAGGTATCACGTATGGTAAGAAGCTGGATTGATGCGGTTAGCTCACCTTTTGATAACCATAGTCGTCCTGAGCACTTAACTGTCGCCGAGGTTGTTGTCGCTGTCCTACGTACCGATCCTGCGGATCTCTGTCTTGTTGGACAGGAGGAGGCGAGCGATTTCCATCTGGAGGATCATTGTCTTCATAGCCTCCAGCTTGGAAATTAGCGGCCGAATGTGCCGGGGGTAACGCTTCCGAATTAGAAGCTCCTAACGCCTGTCAAAGGAGTAGTAATAAGTGAACCGAAATTTTTAGGGCAGGAATTCGGTAGGTTGATTTATTTTACTAATAATAGTTTTTAAATCTTAGCTTTTTTGATGTCTCATTCAAGGTGTTTACTAGTTCTTTACTCCATTATCCACATCGCTATTATCCACAGCTCTTTTTTTATTTTCTTTTTCTTCCTTCACATTTCGATTTCGCATTCAAGTTTACCTCTTTTTTATTTCTTTGGTCAGTTACATGGACATTTTTGTTTCCACAGCTGTTATTTGCATGTTTTTCTATTCGCTTTCTTCTTCTGTTGTATCCTGCGATAGATTCCTTCACGTCAAATTTTCCTGTCATTATCTTCTCTGTCACCCTCACACTATCGTTTTCGTTGGATATCTTAGTAACAAAGTTCAGTTAGAGTCAACGCAGAGTAATTTTCCTATTTACAGTCGGCAGTTGTTGATCGAACTGCGCCGTGTGCGAATGATATCTTACGATGGCGATGCATTGAATGCGCTGCGAGATGCAACATACAACCGGTACGGTCAAGCACTTGTCTTTTGGCGATTTTTTGAATGGTTTAATAAAGTGATTCTTTCCTCCGTTTCAGCTATTCTTCATGCTGGCCTATGGTGCAAGCAGCAATCGTTGCTGGTTGTTATCCCGGCATAGGTTTCGTTCGAGCTGGAAACAAGTTGAAGAAGATTAGAACAAGGTTCATGTGGTTTCAAACGTTCCTGTGCTTTTTCTAATCTTTAGAATGCCAAGTTAATAACTTCGTCTTTCGAGTTTTCTCATTATGTTTTGCGATTTTTAGCACTGAAGCTGCAGCCACCCTTCATCCGTCATCAGTTATCAAACGACAAGTGTTAGCCGCTTCCAAACGCAGTGAAGTCATCAATCAGTATGTAGCGGAGGATTCTGAAGATCCAGTAATTGAATATCTAGCGTTTCACGAATTGGCGAAAATTGATGAAGGATTGACGGTAAGCGATTGTTGAGGCTCTTTGACCGTGTTTGCGTAATTAACAGCTAATGCGATGTAGTTTCTATTCACCTTGTTGAAAATTGACAGCTTCATCTGCGTGTTTTGAATACATGAGACGATGAATTATGAAACACCTAGCTCACTGACTTTCAGCTGCGAACAGTTACTGTCGTTCCACCTTGTGCTGTTGTATTGTTTGCTGGGTCGATGAGGCTGAAGAAGAGCACAATACAGAATTTGACATAAGTAAGAACATCGTACAATAGTTTTGCGTTATTTTGGTTTGACGTATTCAACTCTCTTCAATTTCCAGCTGATCCGGATTCGGGAGACGAAGTTGACATTGATGAAGAGGGGCCTCGAGACGTTGTTTACCCTATTGAACATTGGATCGGTGTTCGAGCCACTTATCCGGTCCGTGTTTTTTGTTTAATTCTGCATTGTTACATTGATCTTGGTTTTTATTTTCCTTATTGTTCAGTGACGTAATAATTTTATGCCTTTTATAGGACATGAAACGTCTGATACAGCTACGATTCAAAGTTATGTCTTATTTCCTTGCTGCAATTCACAAACCACAGCTCCTGACAAACCCACAAAAGGAAGATCTAGTGAGTTGCTCAACGTCCGATATCCCATTTTCTATTATTTTTGTGAATGTAGAGTTTCAAGTTGGGCTTATTCATAAGTTGTAAAAGTGTTTATTACCTAAAGGTTGGAGTAAAGGTTTCAGAAAGCAGATCTGCATTACCTCGGCTTATTAGTAGTTGCATACTGCATCGTAAACCATAAATTATTGGCAGCTTTGCTTCGTGACCGCTACAATAATTTTGGTCTCTCCGGACCGCACTTTGCAAGTTCTCCGAACGGCATAATTCGCATAGATCCCATCTTGTGAAGATCGAGAGGCTGTTATATATTGTTTTGTTAAGGTTCAATACCAGTTAAACACCTTGTCGTCATTCATATTTCCTGACAGATGGAAGCTCTTTCGGCTAGGGTGTTGCCCCAGCCAATGGTGTTCGTCATCTGTATTTCAATAACAGTGGTTATTTAGGATCTACTGGAAACACTGGCGCTTGTTCTGAAGACCGACCACCAACAAATGAAGTTTAATACGTGTGTTCTACCAGAACAGCAGTTCATTTTCCAACAGCATCAGGTTCCCACGTCATCGTCCACTTCCAGCTATAGCTCTCACAATGGCCAAGCTACTGCGTTGCGTTTCTCCCATCGAGAGGTCAGTTTTCGCCCAGTCTCCTTAGGATTTTACAGGCTTCTAAAACTGCTCCGAGCTTTCAGGGCACCTCATCGCAGCCAAATATGAGTGCACTTGCAGAGGTTCCTCCAAAATCGGTAGGCTCTTG